TTTATAAGGCATGGCTGTTCAGTGGGGTCACTCTTTAGTTTCTTCTTCTGGAAGACATTCCCATTGGATTGGTTTATCCATGACAGTTTAGTGTGTTCTTCCAGCCCTTTCTCCTTCAGTATCTGCTCCATCTGAAGAACACAAACAGACTTTAGACTGATCGTACTGATGGATTTTCTCAGTGTTAAGGACAGTTTTTCTATGATGACGTGTTTGAGATTCACCTTCGATTAAATCTGTATATTCATTGCAGGATCGTTCAGATTTTGGCCTGATTTTAACTCCACTCTTATGATCTTTCTCTTCCTCTCTGTGAGAAACACATAAGCATTCAGAGTCATAGAAACAATGTATGATCAAGTATAAACTATAAGAAAACAACATTTTTATATTCTCAGTGTTGGTCTTTCTTGGTTATTGTCCAGGTTGCTCCGATCCGACCAGATTAATAGATAATCCAATCCAAACTACTGCATGTTTTATTTATTTATTGCTTATCTGTCATGTATAATGACAGTTTATAACTATTTTACATTTAGCAAATTTAGCAAATTTCGATGTGTCTGCTCACATCCCCACTAAGGCCGAGTTCACACTGCACGATTTTAGCCCGATTTTTCACTCGCCGACAAGTTTTGCGAAATCGCCGACAAATGTCCGACATCGGAGGCAAATCGGTGCTCGTTCACGTACCTCATTATTGTTTCAGTTATTCCACCTGTGTCTCCCTCGTTACCTGCCCTACTTAGTCTCCTTGTGTTTGCAGTCCTGTGCGGTTTCGTTATTTGTCGTATGTGGTCTTATGTGTGCCTTGTTTTAGCGCGCGCGCTGCCTGTTCCTGTGTGGCCTTGCCGAGCTGTGCCCTGTTCTGGCCTTTCTGCCGGTTTTTCCCCCTTGGGGTAGCTTTTGTTAGTTTTGTTTATATTTATTATTAATAAAGAGCCCGATTCACTGCATCTTTGAGTCCTCGCCTCATCTCTCCACACGGACCGTGACAAAGAAGCTTCATGCGTACTTTTTAAACATATTGTACGTTTTGTATGAATCAAATTATATGAATTCATACCAGATCACTTATTTGTATAATAGTTATGTTGTCTCATCAGGTTTTATTAATATAATATCATTATCGTGAAATAAAATTTTGGTCATATCGCCCACCTGCAGGAACAGGTCATTTTTAACTAAAGGCCGCACTAATGACTTGAAAGACAAATAAGATACATAAAGATGAAAAAGATAAGTTACATTTTGTATCATCACCTGACAGACTATGAAAACAAATGCACATACAATAATAAAAAGTTGAACATTTTTGATGTTACTTCTGATAATCAGCTTAATTCAGATTTGCAGATCTTCTAATGATAATGTTTCACACGTTAGGCTTTGTAGATATTCACGAGATGTTTTCTGTCTGCTACCAGCTTCATTTACATGTGTAGTCTGATGTCTGTATCACATTTGTATATTTGATTTGTAAGTCAGATTTGAAGTGTCAGATAAAAGAGCTGAGAAAAGAATTTCAGGAGCTTGATTGACAAGCGTGTTTCTTCAACTATATGAGCAGTTTACTTTGGACTTTTAGAAAGTCCTCTCTGATCAGGGCCCTAACTCCCTCTCTCCCTGTTACAGTGCCCCTGCTAAAATATAATGTTATTTGAACAGTTCTAGCTTTCTAGAAACATTCAAATGTCCAGTTTTCTTGTCGTGATTAGAACAATATTTCAAGGTTACAAAGAAACGTTTCTTATTCTTGTTCATTTCAGTTTCTGGATATTCAAATGTGCCACAACAGTCGAAATACAGGAGCGCCAGTGAAGTCCAGCCCACACCTAAGGTCAGTCTTATTAAAGCCAAGGGGTACTCAACAGGCAGCCCGTCTGCATTAATTTTGTGGCCCGCGTCATGCTGAAAATTAATGTATTTTTATTACAATTTGCGCTCAAAATATTAGGCAGTTAGATTTTTTTTAATTAAATGTACACGATTGCAGTAGTAAAAGCTGCTCGATCTCTGCAAGCGCTGTAACTAACGTGCAATTAAAAAGCGGCACGCCCCAAACAACTTAAAAGAGGAGCGTTGTCCAACAAAAGAGGACATTTAATAACATGATTTTACTGCACAACATCAGTCGAGTGTTTGAAATAACAAAAATATACAAAAATGGCCAAAATATATTGGTACATAATTTATTTATTTTAATTATGAATATATATTTACAAATATATTTGAAAATACATAGATTTTGCCCCTAGTGAAAAATAAATATACTAAAGTATCTTTGAAATACATGTATTTCATGCTAAGTATACTACAAATACATTTACATATTCGTGTACTTTTAGTATACTTTGGATAAAGGCGTCTGCTAAATGACTAAATATAAATGTAAACTGCTTAGGCTACTTTAAGTGTGCAAAACTGGAGCAACTAATTTTGTACTTAATGCACTTTAATCGTGCAGAAGCAGTGCTGAAGTCCAGCTAAAGATATACTGAAGTATATTTGATTGTGCTAAAGTGGAACTATTGCAAGTATAATTCAGGTACACTTTAAATATCTTGCATTTAATTATCGAAAGAGCATACAATCCTCATCAATAGTGACATTAAAACACATTTTAGGCTTAATATTAAGAAATGTGCATTGTGCACAAGTAATAGTCCCAGTAAAGTTGAATTATTATTTTTATATCAGGCGATTTGTCAGTAAATATGTTAATAGATTTGAACTATACTTAGTATGAAATAAATGTGGTTTAAATACAGGACTTTTTTTTTACTAGGGACTAGATGAAATTCGTAATTTCTTATTCTTATACATTAAGACTGGCAACTCACCAAGATGACACACATAAGCATATTTGTTTTCACAGTGTTGGTCGTTCCAGTGGTAATTGTGAATCTGAACACACCACTGTTTTCCTTTCATTTTTAGCATATTGTGATTATCTCGCTGGTTATTAACGGTGGCAAGATCAGTGTAATGCTGTCTGCACTTTCTCAGGCACAAAGAAATAGTCATGAGAACGTCACGCGCATCAGAGCTGAAGCAGAAAGAGACACATTTCAGCTTATATTATTTGTTTTTATAAAGTTGAATATGCTCGTTAGGGAATAGCTAGCTCATGTTACGAAACAGTTTCTAATGTTTCCAAAACCGGTGACGCTCACCTGATAACAGCACAAGATCAAATCAGTCTGCAAATGACGGCAGACGCACTTATATAGCAGCTATTTTCAGGGCCAGGAATGGTTGCGTGTGATCTTTCCACTTTATAAAGTCTGTGTTATGAGTCTGTCTTACTCTGCTGACATCATTGTTGATGTGCATGGAAAATAACATTCAAACCAGAAGCAGTTCACAGCCAGACACTTTAGAAATCACTGATGCTTAAGTTTGTGTATAGTGTTTTCTGATTTCTGTATTGTACTTTGTTGAATCACTTATATACACTGACTCAGAAAAGTATTTGGATGCTTAAAGTGATGGACAATATCAAATATTAACATCTTTATCATATAATCCTAACTCGGTTAAGGAAACCTTCATCCAAACAGCTTGTTTAAGAGTTTCAACATCTGCTTCAAACGCTTGAATGCGACAGAAGGTTCATTCGTCTCTGGAACAAACCCACAACTTTTGTGTTCATATATTTTTTCACTTTTTCAAGCGGAAAAGGTGTTTAGTGAATCAAATGAATCAGATCTGCAATGGCAATAATCAACATCCATTCATTTTTTCCTATTCATGCACTTAATACAGTCTAATTTTATTAAAGCAAAATTGAGTAAATCGGTCTCACGTTCAATTATCTTTCTTTCGTGACCTCAGATAATGCAAAACATTTTTCAAGAGATCTTGCTCAATTACTTTCAGGTTGAAGCCTTTTTCTATTGAAAACTGGACAAACATGCATGCAAGTTGGGATATTTTCAGTTGTGTTTTAACCAATAACTTTTATTTTATATTGGGACAAATTTTCAAGAACATCTCTTCTGATGCATATAAGGTTTTTACTATAAATCCTAAATTTCACTTTATTCACTTTTCCTCAATGAAGTTGTTTCTCCACTTCAGCAGAACTTACAGACACCAAACTTAGCAGTTTTATTCATATCTATATTGTGAATGTTTTTACTGAGGGGTTTGTTGAAATATCATTTGGCTGATTTTATTATTGCATTTCTTCTATTTGCGTCTAGTTAAAGTAAATATATTTAAAGGCCAATTTCTCTAAATGAATTTGTTTCTCCACTTCAGCAGCACTTACAGACACCAAAACTTTTATTCCTCTCTATATTCTGAAGGTTTTTACTGAGGGGTTTGTTCATACGTCATTCACCTGATTATTTCTAGCACTTTTATTCCTAAAAACATGGTGAAAATGCATTTCTTTCTGTCTATTTTCAGCATTTTCTCATTTATGGAGTGATAAAAATAGAAATCCAGAATCCCCTCTGTAAAAACCTTTAACTCTAATATGACTACAAAATCAAACAAGAATTTAGAATCTGGCTTTATCCAGTTCATTTGCACATTTAAACATAACATAGCATAACAATACAAAAAATAATTGCAATTCCTAATGTAAACAATCAACTGGGGAAGTACGGTGATGTTTTAATGGTTATTTTTACTCCATTCACCTGTAGTTTCTGGCCTTAAATACCTGACTGCATACTGTATGCAGCACCAGTAGTACAGTAGGTATAGTGCCCTCTGCTGGTACACAGAACAACCATGGATATTCACAGCTTTTAAAAAGTTATTAAATGTTCAAAGTTATCATAAAGAAATCAAGCAAACTTTAGGTAAAGATGTAGTTCTTACTAACTGTTCTAAAATATTATTACACTATTATTATTATTATATTACACTATTTAGTCAGTTTGATTGTAATATTGAAATAAATCAATAACAAATGACTGGTTGGTTAGATCGGTCTGATGTGTTTTATATAGATTACCTGCTACTCAAATTCACCAACAACCTGATTTATGTAGCTGTTTAATAGGGACAGAGCACATTAACGAACATCTGTATAAAAATTTAAAATGTAAACATGCCAGATTATAGCAACATTGCTCATTTACATCCGTCGTCCCTGAAAGAAAAACATGAAACCTAAACTCATTAAGACCTATTCTTTGGTTGATTTGGTCTCTAACACTCGTCATCTGTTTATTATCCTTACATCAAGAAAGGAACATGTGAAAATAAATAGTATCAACAAAACATCAAGTGTTAACATTTCAAATTAAGAACTCCTAAAAGCATGTGTTTTCTTAAGTTGCAGCGCGTCTCGGCCACTGTATATTCATCATTTACACTTGTTGAATATATAAATTACGTTTAAAACCGAAAACACATTAGAAGACAGTTTTGGAATGGTAAGGAAATATTTTTTGTTTTGTCTTGAGCACAATTCAAAGCCAGCTGTGTATGTCCAGATGTTGCGTGTCATGTTGGTGTTTATTCCTGTTGCTCCAGGATGAGGTCTGTGAGCCGGCTGACGTCTCTGACGGTCGGGTGACACTGCAGGATCATGATAATCACGCTCTCCTGATCCGGAAAGATCTGCACTAAACTCTGCCGCAGCTTCAGCGTCTCCTCCGCCGTCCTCTCCCTGACCTCCTGACCCCTGCCGTGACCCCCCGGGGTCCAGTCTCGGTACTGCAGCACTTCGGTGTGAGCGTGCCGCGCCGCAGACGGTGGAGGGAAGGACGCAGACACACCTGCGAACGAGTGACTGCCGGGAACAGGCAAACTACTGAGAGAGCAGAGACAAACACACACACACACACACACGCACTGGGGAGTTCAACATGATATTTGTTATTGTCATATTTCAGAGAACATTAGCATATAGGCCACTGACACGAAACTATCTGATTTCAAGACATCATTTATCGGTGCTTTAATATTTCAAAAATGTGGTCTACAGATAAATGGTGTGCGCTACATCAGCGTGTGCTAATGGACTGTTTGCATTTTAATCAGAAATATTACACAGACTAAAATAGATAAATACATTGTATTGATGAACATAAAATATTTGAGGGCATTTAGTTTGCAAACCCTGTCTAAAAATAATTGCATAATAATTATTAATATTTTATTATACTGTGCATTGTGTTATTGTTTCAAAAGCAGAAATAATTATATACAGTACTGTTCAAAAGTTTGGGGTCAGTAAGATTTATTTTGAGATAAATTATTTGTTTAGTTTTATTCATCAAGGATGCATTAAATTGATGAAAAGTGTCAGTAAAGACATTTATAATGTTACAAAAGATTTATATTTCAAATAAATGCTGTTCTTTTGAACTTTCTGTTCATCTGTGAATCCTGAAAAATAAAATATTGAACTGTTTTCAACATTGATAATAATCAGAAATGTTTTTTGAGCAGCAAATCAGTATATTAGAATGATTTCTGAAGATCATGTGACACTGAAGACTGGAGTAATGATGCGGAAAATAAAGCAATAAGCCCCGTGAAGCCGTGGTTTACAGTGAATTTATAACAGCTAAGGGGCGTTGTTAGGTACGACGTGAAGCGGAGTGACTAAAACCCTCTTAGCTGTTATAAATTCACTGTAAACAACGGCTTCACGGGGCTTATTGCTTTTATAAAACGGTTATTCCATATACGTAGTAAGGTTCCACAAAATAAAACAGAGCAAATAAAGTGTAATGATATTAATAAAAACAGCATTCTTCCACCAAACAATGTAGTTCCTCAGAAACAGTTGTGGTTGCAACAAAGTGGTTGCTGAGCAACAGACAAACGTAAACAAAGGTGTATGTATGTAGAGTAATTTACAACAGCTTCGAACGTGGCTCAACCAATCAGAATCAAGGACCGGAACTATCCGTTTTATAATTCAGCTTTGATTACAGCAATAAATTAGTTTAACATAGATTCACATAGAAAACATTTTAATGTGTAATATTATTTTTATCAAGTAAATACAGCCTTTGTGAGCAGAAGAGACTTTTTTTTAAAAATATTAGAAAATGTTGCTGACCCCAAACTTTTGAATGGCAGTGCATTTAATTTAACAGACAGTGTGATGTCGTGTAAATTTTAGCACCTGTGGTGTTTATGTAGGAAGTCTCTCAGATGAGGTCCACCACGGCCCAAAGGATCGTCAGGTAACATGAAGAGATCGCCGGCAAACACGTACTGAAGCAAACTGAAACAACACTTTCATCAGTAAATGACAGCAGCTGTCACTGCTATAAAAACTATACACAGTAAAAACCTAGTGTGCTGCCTTCATAACTGGATCATTTAAGGTGCATCAGGGGCACTTCAAATATGAAGCCCTTGCTTTGCACATAAAACAATCACAATATATTATACCAAGGTAAAAAAAAAAGGAAAGATGGGGGATGAAGAAAGAGCAAATGACTGTAAATATACTTTATTCATCACTGAAATGCACTGATTAAAAGAGTCTAATTCAGAAATATTTCATGCATGCCCACCTTTTCTTTATGATGTCTCTCCACGCGGGCGACTCGTCCACCAGATCTCTCAGGTTGTCATTAGTCACAATAACTCCACTCGTCTTCTGCGCCAGCTCCAGCATGAATCTAATGAACAATCACTCATTAACTAACGAAACAGCACTGATTTCTTTTTTACTATTGGTTTACATCACAGCTTGCTACACTCAAAAAATATTCAGCCCTAAATTTAAGATTTATGTGTTTGAATTGCATGTAAAATGTGACCCTGGACCACAAAACCAGTCATAAGGGTCAATTTTGAGATGTATGCATCATCTGATAGCTGATTAAATAAGCTTTCCATTGATGTATGGTTTGTTAGGATAGGACAATATTTGGCTGAGATACAACTATTTGAAAATCTGGAATCTGAGGGTGCAAAAAAACTAAATATTGAGAAAATCATCTTTAAAGTTGTCCAAATGAAGTTCTTAGCAATGCATATTACTAATCAAAAATGAAGTTTTTATACATTTACAGTAGGAAATTTACAAAATATCTTCATGGAACATGATCTTTACTTAATATCCTAATGATTTTTGGCATAAAAGAAAAATTTATAATTTTGACCCATACAATGTATTGTTGGCTATTGCTACAAATACACCCCAGCGACTTAAGACTGGTTTTATGCTCCAGGGTCACATATGTCCATCTATTTGGATTACACAGTTTAACATAACCTTAACCCTTTTTTTAGACGTGTTGATCTGAGATGGAATGATTAATTACCGGTCATCATATGAGTTGATTCTCTTGCCCTCGACCTCTCTGGATGGAGTGTATTTGAGGAAACCCAGATCATAGAGTTCATTCATGTATTGCCTTTCTACAGAAAACACAAGAGCCACATGATGACACACTCACTGCTGTCCCAATACACTAAGATGACAAGGCATAAATTGAGCTTCACCTTTAACCTTTGAGTTGTTCTTCTGCCTCCACTGAGGGACGAACACAGTGATTTCACGATGACCTCTCGCCCAAAACTGCTGTACGGCCAGAGCGATGCCTCGACAGGAGAAAAACACCCCCAAACCGTGACTGCGGAGGATATGCATCAGATTCACAATTCTGCTGCTCTTTACTCTTCACCCTGGGTGTGTTTCGTTTCACTCCCTAGCTAGCTCATGTCAGATCATGTCAAAATCAATCGGGAACTAGTGCTCTGAAACTTTCACTCCCTAGAAATTGACTTAAATGCACTGCGCAAAACATCACTGACTACTCACTATATTCTCTGACAAGACATTTCCTCTGTATTTTTGTCTTGTCTTCCAGCACAAATATCAAAACGTTCTTAAATCAAGATGCATTTAGCGGAGATGCAAAATGACAAAGGATAAGAAGGTTTGTTTTCTGAGAAAATTATGAAAATTAAGTGAATTTGTGCTTAAAACAAGATAAAATATCAGAGAAATAGGGGTTAGAAAAATAATTCTAACTGCAGCACTGAGAGAGAGCATGTATTTTTCTGATCCCATTGCCAAATATAGTTTTTTTTCTTGTTTTAAGTGTAAACATTGACCAATTTTTCACATTTACATTTTGTGCTATTTTGCTTCCATAGCATGTCTTCTTTCAGGCTAGTGGAAAGAAACACTTTTAAGTGTTTATTTTATTGCACATTATCTATATGCGTCTGTAGATTTCTAATATAATACATATATTTAAAAGTGTTTTCTCAAGTTTCTTTCTCCACTTCAGCAGCACTTACATACACCAAACTTAGCGGTTTTATTTCTATCGATATTCTGAAGGTTTTTGCTGAGTGGTTTGTTCATATGTCCTTCGGTTGGTATTATTATTGCACTTTATCTATTTGTGTCTGTTGATTACAGTTACAATACATATCTCTAAAGGCCGTTTTCTCAAAATGAGTTTTATCTCCACTTCAGCCGCACATACAGACACCAAACTTAGCAGTTTTATTCATCTCTATATTCTGAAGGTTTTTACTGAGGGGTTTGTTGATATATCGTTTGCCTGTTTTTTTTTTTTTTACTGCATTTTATCTATTTTGCCTGTATATTTCAATTACAGTACATATCTCTAAAGGCTGTTTGAGTTTTATCTCCACTTCAGCAGCACTTACATACACCAACATTTACAGGTTTATTCCTCTGTATATTTTGAAGGATTTTATAGAAGGGTTTGTCAATATATCACACGACTAATTTTATACAACATTTTATTCCTAAAATTAGATAAAATTGATTTTTTTCCGCCTGTTGACAGCATTTTCTGATTTTTGGACTGATAAAAAGAGAAATCCAAAATCCCCTCTGTAAAATCCTTTAACTCTAATATGACAACAAAATCAAAGAAGAATTTTGAACCTGGCTGACATCTCTTTTCTTAAACATTTAATTTCAGAAAACTTGTAATACAAAACAATGGACTGTGATTAATCAGCTGGTCAAAATATGGTTATATCTATTAGTAAATATTTTACTGTCTTCACCTGTGGTATATTGCCTTAACATGTCATTGTGCATCTCAAGTAAATGTTTCTTGATTTAAGAATGTTTGTACTGGAAAACAAGAAAAAATGTCTACATGCTAATGGATGATGTTGGCACTGTAGTTTTATTGGCTACAGCAATTTTTCCAGCAGTTAACAAAATGACAATGCAAAACGATATCAGTCACTACGTGTTAAATTCCAATCAATACTAGCTACGTTTTAAGCACAATAGAGATGGACTGATGACAGACACAAATGCATATGATGCGTTTTGCGAGAATCAGGGAGTCGACCGATACACACCCTCTCTGTTCTCATTCTGACCACTATGAGATGCATCATATTGTGATTCTTACCTCATTGCAACATTGCTCCCATCGATGATGATCTGACGCAGCATGGGGTCACCAGGCTCGTCTGACAGCTGCAGTTTGAAGGGCGTCTTGAGGCTCTCGAGGAACCGCTGAGGCCCTGTGACCACAGAAGCCGCACCTGATCTGCCATGGTGAGGTTTGGGCACAGCGGATTGGTTGGAGATATCTGGCGAACTGAAATCCATGTTCTGACGGATAGTCCGTGGAGGCGATCGGACAGGTGAAATCATTGGTTGCACATCAGAGTCCAAGGTTTCAAAGGAGTATGTCGTCTGCGGTGGGCCTCTCACCGATGAAGGCCTGCCGTTAATGTTCACCGGTTTGGATGCATCTAGTTTTGCGTTCCTCATTTGGGACTTTCCGCTTCCAGTGTCGAGATCTGCCATTGAATTTGGGCCAATCTTCCAATCAGATTTTTTGCTGCCACCTCTCGTCCGGTTGGCCTCTCCTTGTTTCTGCAGTTGCATGAGCAGCTCGTGTGGCTGGAGCTCGGGTAGATTACTGCACACTTCCATTACTCTCTCTTCGTCGTAGCCGCAAGTGGCCGCGGCCTTCTTCAACACATCCATGACAAAGTCTTCATCTTTTCCTTTACTGGCCTCTAGTATCTGAAGAGCCTCGTGCATTTCTCCACCAATTCCCGCCACATTCTGGGACTCATGGCTGCGGTTTCGCTGGCCGGTTTTGTCCTGCTCCTGCTGGATCAAATCCAGAAGCTGCGAGGCTTCTTTGGGGCCGGTTCGAGTTAGAACGGCTTGAACCACATCCTCAGCAAATCCCATGGTGGTGAAGAACTTGAGATGGTGGTCAAAATCTTCTCTGCTCCTCGCGAACAACAAGACGGTGTCCTGCTGTGGCGTCTCGGATTGGGTTTCTTGTGGCGAACCTGGTTCTGGAGACTCTGGGATCTCAAAGTGTGTTGAAAACGGATTGCAGGATTGGCTGCTGAAATCATCCGTGCTGTTAATTCTGTGCGAGGATTGTGGGAAAAGACGAGGCTGTTGGGAATGTGAGTTCTCTGTGTTACGATTCGATCCTCCAGAGCCTCCAAAAACAATTTCGTCAACAGTTCTTTGCATCGCCCATGCTCCGTTGACTTCGACCGGGATTGGACCCTCTTGGGCCCGTTTTGTATGCGAGTCCAATCCAGACTGCTTCACCAAAAGCAGCAGGACCTCTTTCACCAGCACAGGTAACACCAGCAGGTCCAGGGTGTGACGGTCCTCCAGACTCTCCACAATGGCTTTGAAGGCCCGACGCGACTCCAAGGATTCGAGCCCAGCCTCAGAGCGCCGTCCCTGGCTGCTCTTGTACTTCTCCACCAGGTCTGTAATAAGGGAATAGGCTTTCACCACAGGTTCTGCCAGCCCGGTTATGAGGACGATGCCTTGAGATCCCACCTGCGGGAGAGATGTAGTCACGCAATGTTCATTAATAGAAGCTGGATTGTCACATGCATGCTGTAACTACACAACGGGATATAATATGGTACAGTAAGAAAGTGCATAAACCTTACAAATTAGGGATTAAAATTAGGATCAAATTTGAAAAGTGCACCTAATGCACAAGTTGGTTAAATAAAAAAATAAAAAATAAAAAAATATTTTTTTATTGGTGTCCAAGTAATCATCAGAATAGAATACAGAAAGCACAAGTTTTTTTTTAAATGTAACATTTATCTTACATTTTGTAATGTAACATTTATTTGGCATTTTATGCAGTTTGTTTAGATTTTCATGTTACCTTTGTCTTGCGTTTTTAGCATTTTCTTTTGATTCTCAGGTTACATTTATCTTGACTTGTGCACTTTATCTTGCATTTTAATTTTGTCTCTCAGGTAACTGTTGTCTTTTTTATGCCTTTTTATGCAACACTGATCTTGCGTTTTATGCATTTGTATTTTGTTACTATAAGGTAACATTTATCTTGCTTTTTACACATGTTTTTAATGTAACATTTATCTTGCATTGTATGCATTGTTTTGTTTCTCATGTTACATTTATCATGCATTTTTATTTTGTTTCTAATGTAATCTTTATATTGTATTTTATGCATTTTTATTTTACTTTCATCTTGTTTTTATGGATGTTTAGATATTTTTCAAAACAGCAAGACAGAAAATTACTTTTAGCAGTGAAATATCTCTCTTTTATCTCACGATAGTGTGTATGACAGTCTGTCTCACCTTCTGTTTTCCTAGTTTCTACTAACAAAGGTGGTAGAATCATGCCTGTATGGAAATATGTATATGGACATTATGTCATGCATCATAAAAAAGGCGTTGCTGCAGGGAGGCGGGGTGGAAAATCAAGCTTGTTCATGCACGCACCATCTTCAGATATTTGTGCAAGTTAGATAGCAGTGGAAATGTTTAAAAAAACAAAGTCCTGCCCTACATGTTGTATTTTCTTACTGAGAAAAATCACATTTGGCTGTAATGTTTTAGTGCTGTGCACCGGGCAAAGAACTGTATGCATATAAAACATAAAAACATTCAGCTATGTAATCTGTAACAAAGGTTGTAGTACAGCATCAAATAGTACACCTGCTCCTGTACTATAAAATACTGCATTAGCACAAATTACATTTAGAAAAGACTTAACTCACCACTACATGAGCAGAGGTATTTTTAATCAGGCAATCCATAAACAGCCCCTTAGCACCACAGAAGACACAGTGCAGCACTTCAGGGAACTGGATCTCTTGCTGAGCTTCCTGATTGACGACACCTTTCACAAAAAGCTACGAGTTGCATAACATATAAGGTGAGTAAACCCTCAACAATTCTAATAGGAAACATTTATATTGTAATTGTGGCCTTTGAATCCATAAGCCAATACATGTATCTGTGATGAGAGGAAATGAACTAAAACTAGCGTGTGTTTTCATTGCATGTGCAGTTTTACAGCCATGCAAAGTGATGCAGTTAGAAGTTGCTTTACAGTGTAGGCTTGTTTTTCCACATCATACATGACTTCGTAAATAAATGTTGTTGTTGTTTCACTTTAGGTACACAGAAAGTGAAAGTCTAAGTGTGTAAAGCACCTTTGCTGCCCGCACGTCTCCTGCAGTCCCCCGCAGCTGCAGCCAGATCTGACCGCTCAGCGCAGAAGGACCATCCTCTCCTCCGATACTCAGCTTCACCCCGAAGACTCGCTCGACGGTGGGCTGCAGCGCCAGCAACGCCCCCCTCAACACACCTGCACAGGTGAACTCGTCCTCAACCTCCTGCTGCTCCATCCGCTGGGATCCACAGCTGTCCAGTGTGAGACCTGAGAGAGCCATGACGCACCTCACTGCAGGAGACAACATGAGTCAGCATTGTAAGAACTATCCTGAGCCAAGATGGAATTTAATCTGGAATACAAACCTCTGTTTGTAGTTTATTTGCTACCAACCCTGTTGAAAAAACCAGCATATGCTGGTTAGGTATGTTTTGAAGCTGGTTTGAGCTGGTTTAAGCTGGTCATTAGCTGGTCATGTGCTGGTAGGACCAGCTTAAACCAGCAAAGGACCAGCTTAAACCAGCAAAGGACCTGCTTAAACCAGCTCAAACCAGCTTCAAAACATACCTAACCAGCATATGCTGGTTTTTTCAACAGGGGAAGGCTTCAAACAAAACTCTGAGTGCCTTTCAAAAGGTTTAATGACACTCGTAAATCCATTCTATTCATATTATGACCGATTTTAGATTAACTGGTTCCATAATATTTTCGTTTCTCAAAAAGAGATTTAAGGGTTACTCTTTATTTTAAGGTGTCATTGTTACAGTGTAATTATACATTTAAGTACTGAGTAATATAACTACAAGTACTTACTATATGGTTAGGATTTGGCTTAGGAGTACTTGCATGTAATTATGCAGAATTTGTTGATATCATAATAGTAAGTACATCCCACATGAAAAAATACTATAGTAATTTATAGTAAATACTATAGTGTTTTTTAACCATACTATAGTAAAGTACTTGTTGTGGTAATTCTGTAGTTGCTGTGGTAATATAACAACTAGAGTAATATTGAGATTTAAGGGTTACTCTTTATTTTAAGGTGTCATTGTTACAGTGTAATTATACATTTAAGTACTGAGTAATATAACTACAAGTACTTACTATATGGTTAGGATTTGGCTTAGGAGTACTTGCATGTAATTATGCAGAATTTGTTGATATCATAATAGTAAGTACATCCCACATGAAAAAATACTATAGTAATTTATAGTAAATACTATAGTGTTTTTTAACCATACTATAGTAAAGTACTTGTTGTGGTAATTCTGTAGTTGCTGTGGTAATATAACAACTAGAGTAATATTAACAAATTACTTTACCCAATACTGTACTAAGTTTTCTACAACTATGTGGTATATTACACTACAATACACTACAGTTTAGTGTAGTAAAAAACTAAAGTATACTACAGTGTTTATTACAGTTTATCAGTTCATTACAGTTAATACCACAGTAGCCTATGCCATAGCATTCATTAACAAAGTGTTGTAAATACTACAGTATAATACACTTCAAAAACACTATTTACTATAAATTACTACAGTATTTTTTCATGTGGGATGTAGCGTGTATCAAGGACACCTTAAAATAAAGTGTTACCGATCTGACAAGTGAATGTAACAAAGAAAAGGTGTTTGGTATACAAATGTTTAAAACAGGAACAATCTCAAAACGTTATGAACAGTAACGTTAATAGAGCATTCCTTCAAAGTTGTCTCGTCTTTAATGGCGTTCTCAAAGTGTTAGCGCAAAAAAAAAAATGTTTTTTTTTAGTTGCACGTCTAATGTTTTTTAAACGTTACTACTTAAACGTTTCACGCTGTTTAGAGAACATTCAAAAGTAATGTTCCCGTAATGTTTGGAAAACAGTAACATTGAACATTCCACTTTCTGCAAGCGTTCAAACAACAACGAAAAACGCTTTCATTCAGTCCTAAACACAAACCTTTTAAAACTTAATGGGAACGTGAACAAACGTTATTTAATCACGTACTATGTGTTTCAAAAAAAAAAATGTTTTTTTTTAGTTGCACGTCTAATGTTTTTTAAACGTTACTACTTAAACGTTTCACGCTGTTTAGAGAACATTCAAAAGTAATGTTCCCGTAATGTTTGGAAAACAGTAACATTGAACATTCCACTTTCTGCAAGCGTTCAAACAACAACGAAAAACGCTTTCATTCAGTCCTAAACACAAACCTTTTAAAACTTAATGGGAACGTGAACAAACGTTATTTAATCACGTACTATGTGTTTCGCAATTCAAATCGGCCGAACGATTAAAGATTAACTGGTTCCATAATGTTCTACATGTGACTAAAACAGAGACTCCTTTGTTTACCAGGCGAAACAGATTTCTCTGTCTCATCAAAAACACAAGAACAAAACAGAAATGTGTACGATATGTAGGACCGAGCGACAGCAAACTTGCGTTCTTACCATAATCGCGTGGACTTTAAACTGCGCTCTTTCGTCTGTTTACGAAGCGTTCGCGAGAAACAATCCGGATCGAGCGCGAGTCGGAACGCTCTTCTGCGACACTCCGGATCCAGTCTAGTTTAGTCCCGCTCGGTTATAAAAGGCTTCTTTTGGTTTAGAAATCACCCGTGGTTTCGCGAGACTCGTTAGTTCGCATTTTGGACTGGTCATGATGATTGTAGATAAAACGAAACCAAAGGGAAACTTCGCGTTGATCTTCTTCTACCGTAACGAACGCAAGGAACGCGCATCTGCTGGAGCGCTTTAATGTTTGCTTGCCGACATAAAACGCAGAAACACGCACGACCTTTGATCGGAAACGAGTTAAAACACGTAATAAAACATGATGCATGAAAATGAGTGAAGCACACAAGAACGCAGACTTTATTATGGCTTTAGTCAGATACAGTCGCATCGTGTGGGGATTTCCACTGACGTAAGCCACATCCGTTTAAAGTCAACAGCAAAAAGATATAGACTCCCAATCCATTTTAATTATTGCAATAGTTCTATTGTTTGCATTCTTCTTTCTTACACGTTTCACTTATCAGAATGCGGACAATTTGTTATCGTTTTATCTTTTTTTAAATATATAGCCTATACTAATGAATTTATGATCCATAGCATTCATTAACAAAGTGTTGTAAATACTACAGTATAATACACTTCAAAAACACTATTTACTATAAATTACTACAGTATTTTTTCATGTGGGATGTAGCGTGTATCAAGGACACCTTAAAATAAAGTGTTACCGATCTGACAAGTGAATGTAACAAAGAAAAGGTGTTTGGTATACAAATGTTTAAAACAGGAACAATCTCAAAACGTTATGAACAGTAACGTTAATAGAGCATTCCTTCAAAGTTGTCTCGTCTTTAATGGCGTTCTCAAAGTGTTAGCGCAAAAAAAAAAATGTTTTTTTTTAGTTGCACGTCTAATGTTTTTTAAACGTTACTACTTAAACGTTTCACGCTGTTTAGAGAACATTCAAAAGTAATGTTCCCGTAATGTTTGGAAAACAGTAACATTGAACATTCCACTTTCTGCTAGCGTTCAAACAACAAAGAAAAACGCTTTCATTCAGTCCTAAACACAAACCTTTTAAAACTTAATGGGAACGTGAACAAACGTTATTTAATCACGTACTATGTGTTTCGCAATTCAAATCGGCCGAACGATTAAAGATTAACTGGTTCCATAATGTTCTACATGTGACCAAAACAGAGACTCCGTTGTTTACCAGGCGAAACAGATTTCTCTGTCTCATCAAAAACACAAGAACAAAACAGAAATGTGTACGATATGTAGGACCGAGCGACAGCAAACTTGCGTTCTTACCATAATCGCGTGGACTTTAAACTGCGCTCTTTCGTCTGTTTACGAAGCGTTCGCGAGAAACAATCCGGATCGAGCGCGAGTCGGAACGCTCTTCTGCGACACTCCGGATCCAGTCTAGTTTAGTCCCGCTCGGTTATAAAAGGCTTCTTTTGGTTTAGAAATCACCCGTGGTTTCGCGAGACTCGTTAGTTCGCATTTTGGACTGGTCATGATGATTGTAGATAAAACGAAACCAAAGGGAAACTTCGCGTTGATCTTCTTCTACCGTAACGAACGCAAGGAACGCGCATCTGCTGGAGCGCTTTAATGTTTGCTTGCCGACATAAAACGCAGAAACACGCACGACCTTTGATCGGAAACGAGTTAAAACACGTAATAAAACATGATGCATGAAAATGAGTGAAGCACACAAGAACGCAGACTTTATTATGGCTTTAGTCAGATACAGTCGCATCGTGTGGGGATTTCCACTGACGCAAGCCACATCCGTTTAAAGTCAACAGCAAAAAGATATAGACTCCCAATCCATTTTCATTATTGCAATAGTTCTATTGTTTGCATTCTTCTTTCTTACACGTTTCACTTATCAGAATGCGGACAATTTGTTATCGTTTTATCTTTTTTTTATATATAGCCTATACTAATGAATTTACGATTTTATTGAAGAACATGTCGAGTTATTTTTGGATGAATATATAACATTAAAAGCATATCAGTGAAACACTGTAACTTTTCCTATTTTTAATTTAACAAAGAAATTAAAAAGTATGCGCGACAAAGGGTGGGGATTTGGAAACCCTAGGCTACTTATAAAAACCAGAGCTCTCCACATTCTTCCAGTAATGGATTGTTTACTCAAAGTTATCTGGTCTTTAATGCTGTTCTCAAACAGTAGAAGAAAAATATTACTTGTGGAACATTATTTGAAACATTTTAAATTCACGCTTGTCTTATAATTAGCTTCACGTGGTTCAAAAACCACATTGTTTTCTCTAACATAACTAAGAAAAACGTTTTTTTAAACATTTAATGATTCGAACTTTCAGCGAGCATTCAGAAATAACATTTAATGTCTCAACAATGGGAACGCTATCAAACGATAAACATTATTTATACATTGTTCACGGAACGTTTCTTTACTTGCTTTCAGATGCTTCAGAAAATGTTTCAGTAACATCCCCATAATGTTAGAAAATGATACAATGGAACGTTCTCTTGACGTTTTCTCTAATAACCAAGAACATGTTTGGAACGTTGATTCAAAAGTAGCGTTTAATAGGCCAACCTAATGGAAACGTTCTTGGAACATGCTTTTCTTAGACTGACTTGTGTTTCAATAATCTATCAGATGTATTGACATGAGATTATTGGTGTGATTTCAGAAGGAAAGCATGTGTGCAGTGGTGTTTTCTTCTTCTTGATCGGCAGAGAAGCGCTTGTTTGATGGGGAAGTGAAACCAGCTTCTCGATGTGGAAGCGTCGCCATTAACGAGGAGCTCGGAGGAACGGACGCACTCAGACGGAATATGAAATATTTAAGCATGCTCCGGTTGAGTAGTTGAGTAGATCAGACGCTCGGGGCGGAGATGGACGACTCTGTGTGCATCAGGTTCGAGGTGATCCGTGATGAATGTCTGCAGGGCTGGAGGAGAATCGGAACCGGCGGATTCGGCCAGATCTACCGAGCGAAGCACAAGACCCTGGGCATGGACGTGGCCATAAAGTTATTACATTATAAAGACGGGTAATTACAGCACGTGGACATTGTCCTTAAATGTTTACCTTGTTAAGCACAGTCTATATAGCACAGTCCAACCGTAATATTGTGCAATGCATTAATGTGGCCTTCAAATAGTATGCGATCATTCTTTCATTTTGATTATTATGTTTAATGGGGGAGGTCGGGGCAAGTTGGCACACTGGGAAGTTGTCTGTATCACGTGAACACAGTGTAACCACACTGCAAACATCACTGTGTAATGAAGGGAGACTTTCAATGAAAAGAGAAACATTTAGACATTTAACTATAGCAGTTTATGTTGTCCAAAACAGTCGCTTGGTGTTTGTTTTTTATTTCCCACTCTTGGTATTTCATGAATTGTACTGTGTTGTCCGTAGCGTACTATAATGACTGACATACAAAGTACACTCATTGTAAAAAAAGTAATTTTCGATTCGTAAAAAAAAAATGATGCAAAAAATGTTTTCACTCAGAAATTGCTACTAAATTTCACAAATGATGGCACGTAACTTGAATTGGATGTAAAATTGTTTAGTATGAAGACTGAAATAGTATGTTTTCTTGTAAAACGTACTCCAGTAATCTTTATTTCATTTACAGCTTCGAAAAACCATTTTTAAAGCATAAAACAAAGATTTTGCAGATGTTGGAGTACATTTTACAAGAAAATACTATTTCAGTCATTTTACTTCGAAATTTCACATTTTAATAATTTTTTTACAGTGTCTTTGTAATTATTTACATTATTACATAATTATTTACATTTACCTTTACATTTAGTCATTTAACAGATGCTTTTATACAAAGCGACTTACAAATGAGGACAATAAAAGCAGTCAAAACTAACAAAAGAGCAACAATATATAAGTGATGTGACAAGTCTCACAGTATGCGTAGCAAGGTTTATATATATATATATATATATTAGTGCTGTCAAACAATTAATCACGATTAATCACATCCAGAATAAAAGTTTTTGTTTGCATAATATATGTGTGTACTGTGTATATGTATTATGTATATATAAAGACACACACATGCATGTATATATTTAAGAAAAATGTGTTATGTTTTTTTATTAAATATATTTATATATAATATAAATTATATGAATATAAATGTATACATGTAAGTATTTTCAAAACATATGCTGTATGTGTGTGTATTTATATAGTATACACAGTACACACACATATATTATGCAAACAAAAACTTTTATTCTGGATGCGATTAATCGTGATTAATCATTTGACGGCACTAGTTTCAAGGTAAATCCTACGCCAGTTTTTTTCACTGTATAGAAATTGTTCTCTAGTCATCGTCATTGAATAGCAGGTTTCTATTGTGACAACTTACCCCATCCAGTCCACTGTTGGTCATCCCTACCGTTTCAGTGTAGTCAAAGCAGTATTTGGGCATGCCATTACCATGGTAGACTTTATTGTGTGTGTGTGTACATATATTTGCATTACTGTATTTACATTAAGAAAGAGCATATATATACATATATATATATATATAAATGGTTGATTGGCCTTAAAGCTGTAAACGGCGTGGTGCTGTGAGTGCATGGATGTGTTTGTTTGAGCATCATCAGCGCTGGCTGGTTTGTTTGTTTCTCCTGCTCATGAATCAGACCGGCGTCCTCCATCCAGAGGGAAGCTCTCCTGATGTTCCAGGGCGGGAATCCTAACGTGATCCGGCTCTTGGGTCTGTACGAGGGCCGTGTGGGCGAGGGCCGAGGGCTGGTGATGGAGTTCATGCCCAAGGGTTCGGTGGCGGATCTGCTGCAGACGCTGGCCGGGCCGCCGCCGTGGCCTCTGACCTTCCGCATGACGCACCAGATCAGTCTGGGCATGAACTTCCTCCATCATCTGACTCCTCCGCTCCTGCATCTGGACCTCAAGCCCAGCAACGTGCTGCTGGACGACAGCCTCAGAGCCAAGGCCAGTTCCCCCAGATTCTGTGCTTTTCACTTTCATCTTCTGGATTCTGTCTTAATGGTTTACTTGTGTTTTAATAACCAAAAAAGGATGTCTAATCAGGTGAATTCATAAAACTTATCAATATGTGACCCTGGAGCACAAAACCAGTCATAAGGGCCAATTTTTCTGAAATTGAGATTTATGCATCATCTGAAAGCTGAATAAATAAGCTTTCCATTGATGTATGGTTTGTTAGGATAGGACAATATTTGGCTGAGATACAACTATTTGAAAATCTGGAATCTGAGGGTGCAAAAAAATCTAAATATTGAGAAAATCATCTTTAAAGTTGTCCAACTGAAGTTCTTAGCAATGCATATTACTAATCAAAAATTAAGTTTTGATATATTTACGGTAGGACATTTACAAAATATCTTCATGGAACATGATCTTTACTTAATATCCTAATGATTTTTGGCGTAAAAGAAAAATGTATAATTTTGACCCATACAATGTATTGTTGGCTATTGCTACAAATATACCCCAGCGACTTAACACTGCTTTTGCGCTGCAGGGTCACATATAATATAGTTTATTACATTTTTAATAATAATAGTGCCCTATGAAATATTTTATTTTCTCAAATTCAGTTTCATTTTCCCCCGACATTCTGTTGTCCTTTTTATTTGTTCTGGATTCTGTTGTAATCGTTTAATTTCATTTTCAAAATCAAAAAATGATGTCTAATCAGTTGAATTCAAATTTTTTAAATTTAATAATTTATTACTTAAAGGGGTCATATGATGCTGTTTTAAAGATCATTATTTTGTGTATTTGGTGTAACAGAATATGTTGACATGCTTTAATGTTCAAAAAACACATTATTTTTCAAATACTGTACATTATTGTAGGTCCTCTATGCCCCGCCTCTCTCAAACGCTTCGTTTTCTACAAAGCCCCCTCCTTTGACAAGCGCAGTCCGCTCTGATTGGCCAGCTGACCCAGTGCACTGTGATTGGCCGAACACCGCAAGCACGCGTCGGAAATGTAACGCCCCTTACCATAATCGCCAGCTTCATCTTTCAAAATAAATGTAAAGACAGAGCAATGTCTTTACTCTGGGGAACAAGATCTTCTTTATGCACCAAGAGCTTGTAACACTCCAAAGAGAAAGGAAAACTTGAAATCGCATCATATGACCCCTTTAACAAAATTTTATTGTTTTTATTGTTTTTTTTTCTTTCTCAAATTCCATTTTTATTTTCCCCAAATTCTGTTTTCCTTTTTTTTTTTTTTTTTTACTTTTATTGTTTTAATGGTTTAATTTAGTTTTAATAATCATAAAAAAGATGTCTCATCAATTAAATTAATAAAACCATAACAATTGAATATTTAATTTATTATTATTATATATATATTTTTTTTACAATAGTACTTTGCTATGGAATGTTTATATGATTTAATATCAAAAACATTCATTTGGTTATTAACCATTTAATTAATCCTCTTATTTGTAATTAAATTTGAACAATTGGTAACAATCGCTGCACAACAGAGGTTTACGGTGTAAATTAAAGCAAAAAACTGAAAAAAATGTGACATTCCTTTAAAAACATTTTTAATAAACTTATTATTATTACGACTACTACTTTGAGAAGTGCATTCTACTGTAAAATAGTATGATTTCTGTCATAATTTCTTCAAATTGAAACAAACTGTAATTCTGGTAATCATTTCTGAGTGTATCTGGTGATGTTTTTCTCAAATTAAATGCTAAAATCATCTGTGGAGATGAAGTTCATGTGCAGTAGTGCTTTGTACGGATCAAATGTTCCTGTAAAATGAATTCTTTCAGCTCTACACCACTCTTTTCAATGTAATTCAGGTCAAATTATTTAATTCACGTGTTTACACGTAGGCTCGAGTCGATTATTAATAGATTCTTAAAACAGGACTGAGCTCTTAAAGGGACAGTTCACCCAAAAAAATCTTGTTGCATTGCTAAAAACACATCTGTCATTAAATTCAGGATGTTACTGTTGATGGCCAACCAATGTAATATTAAAATCTGTGTCTATATCAGCTTACCGCTTGGTAATTAAGTTGAAAAAATTAGTATGAGCATGATTGTCAGTGCCCTTTGAGTGTGAAACAGGCATAATGCATTTTGACTTTAATGAACCCTTGCTTTGTTTTTCCTGCAGCTGACAGATTTCGGTCTGTCGCGAGTGGCTCGAAGCGTTTCTAGATGCTCCAGAGAGAAAGACGAGGATGATGGAGGAACACTGAGCTACATGCCTCCTGAAGCGCTGCAGTCTGTCAACTACAAAGCCAGCAAAGCCACTGACGTCTACAGGTAACCACTGAAACATCGCCAGTGGTGGAAAGAGTACTGAAAAAAATATACTCAAGTAAAAGTACCATTACCTTCCAAAAAATGTAGTGTGAGTAGAGTAAAAGTACTTGTCCAAAAAACTACTTGAGTTTAAATTAAAATAAGCATGTAACGACCACAAACGGAGGAAAATAGCTGAGTAAAAGTACCAATACATCACTTAAAATGTACTCAAGTAAAAGTACACAATTTTTAAACTACTCAAAAAAGTACAATTACTGATAAAAACTACTTAATTACTGTAACGTGAGTATTTGTAATTCGTTACTTCACACCCCTGAACATCGCAGATACTGAAGCAGGGCTTTTAATGTTTTTAACCTCGCCAAGGCTGCATGTATTTGATAAGAAATACAGTAAAATTGTTAAATATTATTACTATTTAAAGCAGCTGTTTTCTGTGTGAATATCTGCTAAACTGTAATTTATTTCTGTGATGCGCAGCTGTATTTTCAGCATCATTACTGCAGTCTTCAGTGTCACATGATCTTCAGAAATCATTCTAATATTTGCTGCTCGAGAAACATTTCTGATTATTATCAATGTTGAAAACAGTCGTGCTGCACAATATTTTTGTGGAAACTGTGATGCGTTTAATTTTTCAGGATTCACAGATGAATAGAAAGCTCAAAAACATTTAAAATGATACAAAATATTTCTATTTCAAATAAATAGTGCTCATTTATTTGAAATGGAAAGAGAAACTAACAATTGTGCTTCATTGTTTTTTTATTGCTGAAGAGTTTATTCTCCTGCATTCTACTGTACAGACGTGAATGTACTTTTGCTTCAGTCTGAGGTTTATTCATTACACTTTTTGGTGTGAAAGGGCTTTTATATTTGCTATAAACAGAACTTCTTATATTAAAAACAATCAAGCCCTGCTCATATTTAAAAAGTAACGCAAAAGTAATGCAAAAGTAATATAATGCATTACTTTCCATAAAAAGTAACTAAGTAACGTAATTAGTTACTTTTTTTAGGGAGTAACGCAATATTGTAATGCATTACTTTTAAAAGTAACTTTCCCCAACACTGTCCTTGATTGATAAAATCAATTTTAAGAATATCAATTTTAATCAATTAAAAATCAATTTTAAGAATATCAATTTCTTTAAAAAAATAAAAATAAAAAATGACCCGAAAGTGTAAAAAAAATTGGTTTAAATTGTTATATCGCTTAAAAATTTATTTTAAAAAATCTAGAAACAAATACACGTGTATTTTGATAATCTTAATCCATGTGCAATGTTTTTTTCATGTATATTGTTTTTCAACTTGCCTGAATGCAAAAGGTGTTACAATTTAGGTTAAATGGTTATGTCTCTTAAAATTTTATTTTACAAAATCTGGAAAATAAATAAAATAAAATAAACATCTTTGTTTCAGTTTTTCTCGCTCCGTGTCCAATAAAGCAATGCATGTACTCTGCTCCGATATATTGCATTAATCTTGTCTCAGAGATAAATGAAACAAATACAATTAAAGAAACAAAATATATTCTTACATCTTAAATATCACGGATGCGGTCAAGACAACTGTGACTCCGCTGCATTCCAAAGAACGCCAGACTTCACAGTCGCGATTCTTAAAGAGCCGGGACACAGTTTTAACATATTTTCAATGTAAAACACAGAATATTTATCCAAATGGCTTCATGAATGAAGTAAGTTCACGAATGCAAACAATCCAAACAAAACAATCAAAGCTGAAATGCTCCGCACAATACAAAATATTTGTCATTGAATCTAAGCAACAATAGTCTCCTACAGACAATCTTAATCCTTATGCAAAGATTAATCTATTTTTTTTTCTGTACTAAAAATTATGCATCTTTAGACAATTTTATGTACTGCTCTCGGGTCAAAACTGACCCTGCAGCACAAAAGCAGTGTTAAGTCGCTGGGGTGTATTTGTAGCAATAGGCAACAATACATTGTATGGGTCAAAATTATACATTTTTCTTTTATGCCAAAAATCATTAGGATATTAAGTAAAGATCATGTTCCATGAAGATATTATGTAAATTTCCTACCGTAAATATATCAAAACTTAATTTTTGATTAGTAATATGCATTGCTAAGAACTTCATTTGAACAACTTTAAAGATGATTTTCTCAATATTTAGATTTTTTTGCACCCTCAGATTCCAGATTTTCAAATAGTTGTATCTCAGCCAAATATTGTCCTATCCTAACAAACCATACATCAATGGAAAGATTATTTATTCAGATTTCAGATGATGTATAAATCTCAATTTCAAAGAATTGACCCTTATGACTGGTTTTGTGCTCCAGGGTCACATATGAGGGTTGGGATTGATGTGCTCCTTCATATCTAATCGTGCATGAGATGTAAATGAAAGTGTAATGTGTCATAAAGTGTGAACGCTCTGCTCTGCAGTTACGGCGTTCTGCTGTGGTCCATCGTCACCGGGAAGGAGCCGTATGAAGGTAAGCGTCCCTCAGCGCTCTCTGGCTGGCGTCCGCAGCAGCGTCTCACTCGTGTCTGTCCCGCAGACGCTCTGTCCAGCCTGGTGCGCTTCCGGATCCCTCAGGGGGACAGACCGGACCTGACCTCCATAGACCCCCGCGGGGTTAAAGGGCTGGAAGATATGGTGAAGCTCATGACCGAGTGCTGGCATCAGGATCCCAGCAGGAGACCGTCGTTCCTCGGTGAGACTCGAACCCCTTCGCTCCATGATGACCCAACTCATCTTCAGGGGAAGTCACTAAAGGAGGGTTGATTTGTTGCTAAATGATGTTGTGATGTCATAGTTACAACACAAAATTGTGTCACTGCATCGAATCTCAGCCAAAAATATATTTTGCATATAATGGGTCAAAGACGAAAAAGGGTTTAAGCATAAAAACAATACTGCTTTAAATTGTTGTTTTTCAAAAAAAAAAATTAAAAGTTTTCTGTTTCATGTAATTGTATTTTTGTTTTTCTGAGCAAAAAATAAATATCATACATTTTCCCCTGATTTACAGAAGACACCCACTAAAATATCATTCAGTGTAACGATCTTGTCAGGCATATTTACAACAAAAATCAATTTATGACAAAATTAGTTAAAAAACGAATTACTTTCACCCCAAATACTAATTAGTTGTAATTTTACATTTTCAAAATTGGCCACTATCCTAGGTTTTGCCCATTTGTCAGTAATATTTTTTTTACTCATTTAAAACCCAATAAAATTTAATATGCTCTCTTATTCTTTTATATATTTTAATATGTACACGTCAGAATAAGCATGTTTTTGAATTTTTACATAACTGTAAGTGTTACACTGAATGACATGTAACATTATTTCAAACAAATTTTGACATTTTATTCTTCAAAAACGTATTTGAACTTTACTTGCATTTAATGGTGCTTTCTATGGACATAAAATCACTTTTGATGCAGACATCTTAACGTCTTTGACCCACATGTTAATTTTAGATTTGTTCATAAAATAATATATTAAAATATAAAATACAACACTGAACAATGAACATATTTTTGAACAATTTAAGGGTTTTAGCTTGTGAACTAGTAAAACTACACATTCTGAACAAATACAGTTTTAAGCAGTGTGTTAGTGTGCTACACTCTAAGAAAAATCTGTAAAAATGGGGCACAATCTACTGTTAAAATGAAGAAATATTCCGTATTGATTTTTCACAGTTTTTTTTTAACTGCATTTTAAATGATTGGATAACAGATAACGGATATGTCCTGGAAAATTACTAGTACCTTTTGCATTTTTCTAGATATTTTTTCTTACAATGTACTGACTGATCAACAGTAGGGTTGGTAACTAGTAAAGTAACACATTACTTTTAAATTTACAAGAAAATACTTTTTTCGAATAAGTTACTTTGCTTTCCTAATTTCTCTGCTGTCCCCGTGTTTGTGTTTTTTTTGTTATTAAAAAAAAATCAGCAAGCCCAACTCATAATGCAAAAGTAATGTAATTAGTGCTGATAACCGTGATTAATCGCTAACTGAAATTAAAGTTAAAACAAAACGTTTTACATTTAAGATATTAACAAAAACGTTAATAGTATTTCAGTGGTATTAATATGCAGTGTTATGAGTGACGCATTACAAGTGATGCGAGTTACTTAATCAGATTACTTTTTTCAAGTAACTAGTAAAGTAACACATTACTTTTAAATTTACAAGAAAATACTTTTTTCAAATAAGTTACTTTGCTTTCCTAATTTCTCTGCTGTTCCCGTGTTTTTGTTTTTTTTGTTATTAAAAAAAAATCAGCAAGCCCAACTCATAATGCAAAAGTAATGTAATTAGTGCTGATAATCGCGATTAATCGCACACAAAATATATATTTTTTTAACATAATATATGTATGTGTTTATTTATTATGTATATATAGAATTGTGCTTGCACGCTAATTTGCCCTGTTTAGTAAAACTGGCCCATAGCCTACATTTTGTAAATTTCCTGTTTTCATGTTATAGTAAAAGTATTTTTCAAATGGTCAGAACTGGATATTAAAAAGCGTTCCAAACCACCCACTGATCTTAAAACTACCATAATATCATCATCAAATGGACAACTGAATTGTGTCAGTGTACGAACAGCAAACTGTATGAAATGAACTCTACTGTTGGATCTTTATTTTCAATAACCGATTGGATCTGATAATAAAAATGAGTGCTGTCAAACGATTTATCGCGATTAATCGCATCCAAAATAAACGTTTTTGTTATTATACATAATATATGTGTGTGTAGTGTGTATATTTATTATGCATATATAAATACACACACACGCATGTATATATTTCAGAAAAATATGTTATGCTTATATATTAAATATATTTACTTATAATATAAATTATATGAATATAAATATAGACATGTAAATACATGTAAATATTTTCAAAATATATACTGTATGTGTGTGTATTTATATATACATAATAAATATACACAGAACACACACATATATATATTATGCAAACAAAAACTTTTATTTTGGATGCGATTAATCGCGATTAATCATTTGGCAGCACTAAATGTAATGTATTACGTTACATAAAAGTAACTAAGCAATGCAATTAGTTACTTTTTATGGAGTAACGCAGTATCGTAATGCATTAATTTTTAAGTAACTTACACCTAACACTGTGAAATAACACTGTTTTGTTCTGTTTCCACATCAAGGAAGCATGTTGAAATCTACAGAAATCCCTCTAATTTTACACCCAACATCCACTCGTGGAACAAAAATCAAGTCCTGCCCTACTGTATTATTTATGGAAGTCCAACGGGTTATAAATCTGTTTCATTTTGGCTCACAGAATAAATATTTCCAGGATTTTTGACGTCTTGATCCTCTTTATGTTTCAGAAGCACAGCCTCAGGTTTCGTCTTGCGTCACTGGACCACTTCCCAAACAGGTCATTTATACTTAAATTAATTGAAGCAAAATTTAAAATCTTAGCACATTGAACTTAATAAAAGCATTTTAATCAACATAACATTATTTAAATTGTATACAATTGTATTTTTTTATTTCTAGCTAACTGTACTCGGCTCATTAAGGTCAATAATCAGCTCATAATTTGTACAATGAACTTTCAAAGCATTAGAAAGTGATTCAGAGCTAATATTATTACATTTTTGGTTCTGAGAGGATTGAAACCATTTTCAGTAGGACATTAAGATGGGTATCCGTGTATTTAAACCATAGATCTTGTTTTTAAAGGTGCTACCGTATATAAATGAACTAAACTACAGTACATCGTCTGAGGATGTTTATTAGCTTATACGTTATCTTGCAGGAAACAGCTGCCAGTTACACAAAATCCATAAAGAAAGGTAATCTGAGCTCCAGAGATGAATTCACAGAAGCATTTCCTCGTCCTGCTCCGCCGGTGATGCCTATCAGAACAACACAGGTCTGAAACAAACAAACAAACAAACATATCCGATGTTTTATATTACTGACCGCTCCTCCCCTAACATACAGCTGTGTGTTTGTTCTTACA